TATTGGAGTAATATAAACCCATATCAATTATTTCTTGAAGATAACGTAGTATATATTTAACTTTATTTCAATGTATCTATATTAAAACAGAACTATGACTTGCTAACAAATTTATAGAAAAGACTAAATCGAGTCGAGTATTATTAGTAAGATACATCAATGCACCGATGACACTAAAATATGGTATTTTAGGACCAAGTAGTTCTTTGTTATCTTCTCGATGTCAAAAAAGGTCTTTTTGAATATTAAGTGAATGAACTACTATTGGGCTAGTCAATGAATGATCTTTATATAGAATTATTGTAGAACCTTTTTCTATATAAATTGACTGATGAATGAAAATCTCATTCTCCGAGTGTTCGAACCTGCAGTCGAGATAACATTTTATTTTCCCAAGATATTCACATCAAATTCTCTTTTTAGATAACTTATGACACTTGGAATCTCTTCGGGAGTTCCAATAATATTTAAGTTATCAACATATACAATAAACCACTTTTCAAATAAAAACATATGAACAAATAGGGTTATTTTTTATAACTTTCTTTCAACAAATAATCATTGAAGTGATTATATCACATGCACATGAGTTAATAATAAACGAGTAGATATAAAAATAAAATACAAAAAGTATAAATTAATTTTTAAAAACCAAAATAATAAAATAAATACTAAAATAATACTAATAGAAATCTCTATAATTTAATTGAATTCTTATCTCGAGAATATATATTACATGCTTCGGCATGTTAAGTCCTTCTAGGACTTTCATACGGATTCATCGTAAAAAAAAAAAAAATTATGATCACATTCATTAAATACATGCATATGAATGTTTTTTTGCATATTTTGCTAGGCTAATGAGATAATAAAATATAATTACATCCATTATATGAGAATATGTCTCATCATAGTCAACGTCGGTTCTTTACAAAAACTCTTGTGTTGAAAGTTTTGCTTTGTATCTTACAATCTCATCTTTCTTATTTCATTTTCGCATAAATACTTATTTGTATCTCACTAGCTTAACAACTTCGGGTGTTTTAGCTATGGGTTCAAAAAACTACTCTTTTGTAGGAGAACATAATTCTGTCTGGATTGCTCTTTTCATTTAGGCCAATCATCTTTATGTCGACATTCTTCAATAATTTAAGCTCAAGATCCTTATTTTCATCCATAATATCAATTGCAATATTATATGTAAAAATCTTATCAATAGATGTTTCTTTTCGGTCCTATTTTCTCCCCGCATTAATATAATTTATCAAAATCTCTTGATTTTTCTCAAGTATATGGACTTCTTCTGAAGCCTATTATCGAAATATATTGGATCATTTTGTGAATATTTTCATCTTGTCCTTTTCTTTTAGGGATTTTTATCTTTATAATCGATCGGTCTTCCACACTTCGGGCGTGCTTTAAATTCGTTAGCTATAATATCCTAAGACATCAATTCTAATAGAAGCATTCTCAATGAGAACATGCATTTTATTTACTTTTTTAGGATATGAGAATACGGATAGCAGCTTGTTTTATAATACCTTATAAACGAATTGTCTTGTGAAGTTCACATTGTTTTGTACCAAATTGATATAAAGATAGAGTACTCCATGTAATCTCTTTTTTTTTTTAACATTTCCAACAATATTTCCAATCGCTTATTTTGTTTATTCTTTTTTCAACATTTCAATTGCTTATTTTGTTTATTCTCTCCCTATAATGTTGAAAAAACTATTTCATCAAAATAACGATCGATAAATCAAGCTATAAAATATCACTTATTCATGATTCAAGATATTTAATTATCAAAAAGGATTCAAATCCAATAAATATTCTCAATCTCCTTTAAGTGCCTATTTTATTTCCTTATGAAGGAGCATTAAGGATATACACCGCAATGTCAAAAAATTCTTAAATAAGAAATATTTGACTCATTACCACAAATCAATCGAAGAGGAGAAAATTTCGATAACTTATGGGTCATATATGAATAAGTGTTGCTGTATGTAAGATTGCATGTCCCCTAACATAAACAAGGAGTTTTATTTTTAAATAATGGTTTAGCTATTAATTGGAGCCTTTTGATAAATGATTTTGCTAAACCTTTTTGAGTATGAACATGAGCAACAAGATGTTCAACCTTTATTTTAATAGCCAATCAATAATAATTTAATGCTTGAGAAATAAATTCATCAGCATTATCAAGATGACTTATTTCAATGGCATAATTTTAAAATTATGCTCGAAATCAAATTATTTGCTAGCAATATCGAAAACGTCGGGTTTCAAGTAGATAATAAGCATATATGTGACCATTTTGTGAATGCATTTATCAAAATCATAAAATATTTAAATGGTCCACATGGTGGATAAATTGATTCATATATATAACCTTGAATACATTCTAAAATACTAAAGATTCAATCTCAATTTTACTTGATGATGGCTTAATCATCAATTTGCCTTGGCAACATGTAGCACATGAAAGTTTATTAAATTGAAAAATCTTCCGGCTCTTCAATAGATATTCATATAAATTTTTTAATAATTTTTTCGCATCATGAAAGATCTAAGATAATACAACTCGGTCATGTTACATAGTAAAAATATTTAAATTAGTAAACTTCGGTTTACTACAATATTTGTTTCAATCATTTCAATATTTGTAATAAAGACTAGAAGAGAAAATAGATAAATTTTTTTATAGATATTTTCTACCCGATATAATGATTATAACATATAAGTATTCACATTTGCTATCTTAATATGATATCAATTCAAATGAATATCTTTGAAACTCAATAAATTTCTATAAGACTTTGAAGAGAATAGTACATCATTCATAATAAATTTATCATTTTAGATAATAACATATTTGTTCTTCCGGAGCCTTTAAATTAGTCACTTTAAGCAATAATATATCGACTCTTCTAGAGCCTTTAAATATTTTCTCTTCAAATAATAATTTATTCATTCTTCTAGAGCTTTAAAAATTTATCTCTTCAAGTCATGATATAATCGCTCTTCTAGAGCTTTCTATTAGATTGATATTATCATATATAATATTAACATAAAATAAATAATCAAATAAATCAATACAAAATAAATAAATCAATATATTCCTCATAAACACAAATAAATAAATAAATAGTAAAATAAATTTGTAACCATCAATATACGACAAAAATTATAAGAAATATAAAACATTTTATTTATAAATAGAAAAACTAACAAGTAATTAATTTCAATTATTATTACTTTGATATATAAAAGTGGTCTTCATATTTTACTCTTTATTTTTCAATAAGGCTTGACAAGCCTCAATGAGGTGCTTTGGTAAACGACAGATACACAATCAATATTCATTCATTCCACATCTATAATATTTATTTTTTAGAATACCGACTTTATCTATTTTTTTTGCATAGTTATCCACTTCGGTGGTGAGATGTAATATTATGGTCATTACTATCATAATGATAATTATTTCGATCACATCTATGGCTATGACCACATCTTCATCCATGTCTAAAATTATTATAAATTATCATATTCACTTCGAGGAACGAATTAGATCCAATTGGATGAGATTTATTATTTTTCATTTTATTTAGCCATTAACAAGTATAAAATCGATCCAAAATATTTCTTAAACTTTTTTCTCGATATGCTACTGCAGGAGCATATCCAAGACATAAAAAATAGATCATATTTTTTCAAAATCAAGCACTCACAATCAATAATTCTCATTCAAAATATCAAGAGTCACCAAATCAAGTTTATGAGGTTTGATATAATAAAAATTCTATAATACAATAAATAATAATAATATCGAGAAAATAATAATAATAATAATAATAAAATTAAAGCTTTTCAAATACCATATATTAGATCATTAGTAGATTATTTAAGTTTTTCAAATGTATATTTTATGTATCAATAGATTTAAAGTACATAAATTAAATACATACCTCTTAATGATCTAAATAATTTAGGTATTTTGGTAGAGCACTTGTGTAGAAGAAATTCAATTGTTGAAACAATTGATTAAATCTTTTGGTAGATACATACCTCATGGTCTATTGTCTCGATTGGTTAGAGCTTCGTGTCGATAATGTGTTATAAAATAAATAAAAATAATAGGAGAATTAAAGAAAATGATGACAAAAAAAATGAAATCACTATAATGTGAATATAAATGATAAGAACTTCAAAGTTTCTCTTATTCTCTCTATAAAACTTGTACATTAACTAATAAATAAATCAAGCCTATTTATAGGCTTCAAAATTGATGAGAGAATTGGAAGGGACTATAAATAATCAATTGCATCACCCTTTCAATTTCTCATATTGAATGATGAATTGAATCATATTAAGAATCATGAGTAGTGAGGATATGAAAAATGAATGAACATGATGATGGACATTCATTATTTCATAACAAAAATCATATTCCAATGTATCAAAAGTGATAAAAATATTTCTAAATAAAATTATTTTTAATTTTTTCTCCTATTCCTTTATTCTTTTCATCTTTGTTTATTTCTCTTTTAGTATTAGTTATTTATAGAGAAAGATAAAATTTTTGGTGGAAATTTGCATTACTAACCGAAAATGTAAGTCCATATATTTTTTAGAAAAGCGGTAATTAATTAATAATTGAGGATAAAGTTGAAAAATCATACATCCATATTTATTTTTTTCATGTTCTTCGTACGAAAAAATCAATAAACATTTTTGGAAAGTCATTTCGGATAGTGATCTTGGAATCAGTACCATTTATCACTAGTTGATTTTAGGATGATCACTGATTAATACTTTAGAAGACGCAATTGCACATTTTGAGTAACAGTTATTACGACCCAACAAGCACATAAGCCCAACTCACCGACCTCCCACTCCTGCATTTCCAGCCCTTTTCTCTCCCAAGTCTATAAAGCACTTGGCTGCTCGTAACACATCGAGAACGCCAGCACACGAACCCAAAGGGAGAGATAGAGATGGCAAGGAGGCGGCTATTGTTGCTTTTAAAACCTTTTGACATATACCAACTTGGCCAATCGAACGGCATCTCTCCCATCACCAATTCTCAGGTGACAACATTAGATACATAACAATAACATCACTGCCCCTTTCACCCTCTATTTTTTTTTTACAGAATATTCAGAGCTCACTAATCATAGTTGCTTCACTTCAATCCTCTTAAATTTTAGCCATTTCTTTCTGGGTTCTTCTCTTTTATCTCATTTTCATCTTTTGTTCGTGTTTTAAGTACATCAATAATCATGGCTTGAGTTTTGCACGAGTTTAACATTTGGCTTAACTTGGATGAAGATACTCTGTTTGATAAAATTCCAAAGTTGATATTAGTGTTCTTCATATTGTATTATTTTCATTGAGCTTAACATTTATTGCTGTTACTTAACAATTATCTTTGTAATAGTGAAGGAATTCTGTTCATTTTCAAATTTGAGGGCCGCATGCTATAAATTTCGTTGGTCAAGGAATATATTATTTGAAGTCTTAATTTTTAATGAAGGAATTCTGTTCATTCTCAAATTTGAGGGCTGCTTGCTAAAAATTTTGTTGGTCAAAGAATATTTGAAGGGACCATTTGATTTAAAGTCTTACCTTTTTTTTTTTTTTTTTTTTGGCCACCATCTGCTTTTACTAATCCTTGAAATGTTTCTTATTTGATTTTCTGTTGGAGGTATTGCAGGTTTTTCGTTATCTAGATAACAGGCGTAAGGTTCACAAGGATGCTATAAACTTCTGTCAGGATGTTTTACGAAAGAAATCAACAGTTACTTGGGAACCCATTTTACGTACAAATTTGTCCCAACCAATTCGGAATTTTGATTTGGTTGTTACTGTTGGTGGTGATGGAACTCTTTTACAAGCAAGTCATTTATTGGATGATTCAATTCCAGTTCTAGGAGTGAACTCAGATCCCACACAAATCGAAGAGGTTGATTTATTTGTCAGGCAGAGCTTAGATTTGTGTTCATTATGTCGATAAGGAGTTATTTAGATTCTCTGCCTTATTTGTTGATGTTAAGGTGTAGTTGTAGGTGTCAATTCACGATATGAGCTTTGGTGTAGGTGGAGGAATTCAGTAATGAATTTGATGCTAATAGGAGCACTGGCTACCTGTGTGCGGCAACTGTCCAGAATTTTGAACAAGTAAGAATTACGATTGGGAGTTAATGAAGGGAAATTCATATGTTTTGAAGCAGCAGACAGAGAATAAATGCCACTCTAATGATTTATAGGTTGTGATTATACGTTTGGGTATGATTTAAGGGACAAATTAGCCGCCATATATAATCTCTAGGGTAAATACTAGGACTTGTGTTAACTTTGATTGATCACTAGGCAATACAGAAAGTGTATTCAAGGCCTGGATGCCTAGCTAAATTTGACTAAAGCATTTCGTTTACCTTGAAAAAGCATCCTGACTAGATTGCTATAGTCATTAGAAGGCTTTTCTTGGAGAAGTTGATTTAAACACACCTTGGTGTTATGATTTGTAATTTTGAGATGGTTATACCGTCGCTTGAGTTTTTGTCATTTTTGTTATAGTTTATATTGTCTGGTATGGTGTCATTTGGTCTTATAATTTGTATCATCTTATCAGCAGAAATCACCTAGTTTGTCTATTTTTTCTTTTTTTTCTTTTTTTCATATGGAGTAAGTTCCTGTCTTAATCCACCAATTATGTGGATTTCTTTCAGGTATTAGACGACATCCTAGCTGGTCAAAAAGTCCCTTCTAAACTGTCCAGAATATCAATAAGTGTAAATTCACAACTGCTGTCTACGTATGCCCTGAATGACATATTGATTGCACACCCTTGTCCTGCTACAGTTTCACGTTTCTCATTCAGGTTGATTCGAATGCATTGAGTATGCATTGATTACCACATATTTTGTTGATATCAACTGTGCTGAACCTTTGTTCTTGTTGGCAGAATTAGGAGGGATGGTGAATCATGTAGCCCATTAGTGAACTGCCGATCAAGTGGTCTGAGAGTCTCAACTGCTGCTGGATCAACAGCTGCAATGCTCTCAGCGGGTGGATTTGCGATGCCTGTTTTATCTGAGGATCTTCAATATATGGTGAGAGAGCCCATTTCACCTGGAGCAACCATTGGCTTAATGCATGGAATGATTAAATCAGATCAGTCCATGAAGGCCTCATGGTTTTCCAAAAAGGGATTAATATATGTTGATGGTTCTCATGTTTTCCATCCTATCCAGCATGGGGATACCATTGAAATGTCTTCCAAGGCCCCAGTTTTGAAAGTTTTTTTGCCTCAACATTTGTTAACAGTTAACAAAGAACATGTGAACGGAGAGTGTAAATACCTGTAAGAACAGAAATTTTGTATACATGATTGTTGAGCTAATGATACTCGCATGATGGAGGCCTTGTAAATACATCTTACCATGTTTTCTAGGAAAATTCTCTCCTTTCACGGGACGTCAAGAAAACTGGGTTGCCTTTACTTTTTCATCCATCTCTCCATCAGTTTCCTTGAGGCCTTGTTCGGGCCTCAAAGCATCAAATGTGAGAAAATTGCAAGTTAAGGCTCCTGTATCTTGAATCCTTTATTCAACTTTTTTTGTATGTGTCAATTTTTGTTACTTGTCTGTGTATTCAAAATAATGGCAATGAATTGAAATTGCATGACATTGTTTTCTGTGATCAACCAAGAAGCTCCTTTCAGTCATTTGAGATCAGCATTGGGAAGAAAACCGTGGAGAATATGGATGTGTATCAATGAACTAAATTATTTGCAGCGAAGGTCCCTTGAGCCTCAAAAGATAGTGAGCAGCCGCAGTTGCAGGTATTCATCATCTTTTTGCCATGATAAAATTTAATTGCCCAAGGCCTAAAGCAAGAGGCTTATTGCAACAGCAAAAAGCTTAAGATTCAGCATATTCTAGTCAGGAATTTGCTAACATGTACCTAACTTTCGTTAGATTTGCATCTTTGATTCCACAAACACGTCAAACCCCAATCTTCTCTTGATTGGAAATATCTTTCTAGTTTCAAATACTTTACAAACTGAAAGAAGTAGTAGCATCTGGTATTCCCTCGCCCTCTGACCTCTTCAACCGTTCTTCTTTCGTGACACACAGACACAGTAAATTTCTATATGATGGAGCAATCCATACTCAGTAGGAAAAATGCTAATATCTCTAGAATATTTCTAGTAAAACCGGGATCCTCTGTTAAACTGATCAGATACTGCAGAGGATGCTACTGTTACAAGTGCAAGGGGAAAAAAAAAAAAAAAAACCAGTTATTCCCAAGTTTTTGAGCATCAAGACTTGCTGAGGTTCCAGTATTCAAACATATGTGCCTCTTTACAGTTGTACATCACACTTTGGCTACTTCTATGTACCCTCTTTAATTGTATCAAACACAAAATCCAACAACATAATAGCTATTTCTACGTATATCTGTTGCTAGTCACTACACCTGATGTAGATATCAAGTAAGCAAAGGAAGCCAAAATCTACACTTGCATGATATCAGGATTATAGTTTCTCGTTTGTGTTGCATCATCTATCTTTTCCTTTCCTTCTTTTTTGTCAAAAGGAAGACAGAAAACAAAAAAAAAAAAAAAAACAAAAAAAAAAGCAAAGGAAGAAAAAAGCATAAGGTTCTTACGACTACACTAAAACTATTCAACTCGACTAGTCCAGGTTAACTGAACACCTTGCCTTGTAGCCTACAACCTGAAAAAGCAAATATCAAAGGTAACTTCTCAGAACTATAATATCGAGCAAATTGGATCAAAATACCGAGATTAGGCTAAGCTATACTACTAAGACTGGTTAGGGAAACCTAATTCCCTCACTTACGTGAACATTTGAGGGCGGCTACGTGAGAGCTGAGGGCGCTTTATCGGGGATAGAATCAAGTTCCTTAACGTCATTGAGGGGTTGCCAGATCCAGCTCCAAAGTCATGGATAGCACCAGCTCTTCTTTTTCCAACTTCAACTGGCATGGTTGCTTGTTTTGCTGGTGAGCCACAAGTGATGTCAAAGGGACCAGAATTAGAGCTGTTCTGTCTTGCAGGCCATATATCCTCCCGAGGCCCTGGAGTTGGAGGAGTGAAAACCGTACAATCTGCAGAAATTAGGTCAACTGCATTTGGAGATAATTAAGGCAAAGCATTATTAAGCTATAGTGTGACAATATCATTGCAAAGCAAACATTTCCGGCTGTTGTAAGCATAACAAGGATTTCACAACCAAGAAATATTAACTTTCTATTGGCACCAAGCAGAGCCTATGCTGTCCTATTGTCATTTTAAAATGAAAATGATTACCTTTACAGATAGGGTCTCTGTTATCCATCATGGTAGCTGCATGGTTTGAGAACAAATCAGGCTCATTTCTTGAAAAGAAATTATTTGCTGGTTGGATGGCTGATCTTTTCATTGACTCGTACTCACTCCTCAATTGATCATACATTTCATCAAGTTTCCTCTTCTGCCTGTTATGGAAAGTAACAGTGTTCATTAGGATCCAGACTCACATCATACGTTGATAAAGTGATTGAAGGCTTTGGGCAATATATATACACCGACCTGGCTTTCTCAGAAAATTTTTCCTGGAGCTCTTGTTTATCCTTCGACAAACTCTCAATCTCTTGTTCCATAATCTGACACTTTTTGGCCATTTTCTGATATGCAGTATGCAGCTGCTCCAGTTTTTCCGTGAATTTTTCTTGCATGGACTCACATTTCTGCCGGCATTGAGCTACAATTCTATTCATCTTGTATTGCATCTCAAGTTCCCTTTGCCCAATAAAAAACATCACACTTCTGTATGCACTTTTCATCACTGGGTTCATATAAGGAATATGCATGGATTAAAATGCTGTTTGCATGTTTCCAGGGAATGCTAAGGACCATTCTGTCTATTCAGTTTGGTAGCTCTCTCTCAAATGAAATAGAAGAACTATGAGTACCATCAGATAATCTAATCATTTCAAATTTTGTACTTATATTCAAACTAGTAGTTGATGGATTTAAGGAAAAGAAATGCTATTAACTTATAAAGGATACATATCTGTGGAGATATTCCAGCCATGACCATCTGCAAAAAGTGCATGGTTAATAAAAGGAAAAAAGCAACCAGAAAAATAAGAAATTAGCGTTGTATAGATTTCACCATAACAAGTTGTAAAGGTGTAAAAGAAGAAGCAACTTATTTGTAATATTCTAAGCTAAGGCCTTGCTTACATTTATCCAATCATCATTTGGATTGATATCCACAGGTTTCATAAGGCTGTCAAGAGGAAGCCAAAGTGAAAACTAAAATCAGAATACAATGAGCAAGAAACATTACTCAAGGTTACCAAAATCATTAATTTGTATTTTAAGGTGTTTAATAAAATTGACAGAAATATTCACGCAGCTGCATATTCCTTACTGTGCAGAAGCAGAGCACATTATCTTTATCCACTAATCATGATACCTAGAACTTGCATGCGATTTAGCAAACATTTTTTACAGAGCACAAGCCAACACAAGCATTTCAAAGACTAAGCTTTACCATAAAGTACTGACCTCTTAGAGAGCACTTGATCACAGATTGGACATGCTGCATCATTATTAATAATCTTGTTTGCATCTTCAGTACCTGTTTATTCTGTTAAGGGACTATAGGCTAGTGCAACAATAAACCAGAAAGCATAGAACTGAAAAGGCATAATCATAATCTGCACTTGGATACATAAAAGGTGACCACAAGTAGTAGAAACAGCTCGCCCTTCCAATTCCCGCCAGCATGCGTTGCATCTCATTTTGACCTTAAATATGAGACTTTCATCCAAATTTTATCTGCATAATCTGAACCTATTAAAAGGAGGTTCACAGCTTTAGCATCAACTGCAGCAGAACATGCAAACACATAGATTCAAATTAATCTGCATCACTCTAGCAAGCAGTCTCATGGTTCTGAAAATGAATACTTTTAAAAAAATATATATAGCAGAACATCATCAGCTGAAAATACTGAAAATATATTGAATTTTCTAGTTGCTGTAAATTTTTCAAAATTCATAGGGCTGTGTATTTTGTCAATAAAAAAGCATCTTATCGACCACATATCACATCCGCATCACATGATATGTACAAAGAAAAAGACATGAAGATTTTTATAAAGAGTGATATCGATCATAACAAAAGAATAAAAATCCATCTAACTTCTATAACAAGATATTGATCATAACAAAAGAATACCAATCCATCTAACTTCTATAACAAGAATCTTTCTCTTTTTTCAAAATTGACATGTCTTTAAGGAGTCATTTATTTCCTCAATATCCAAACGTGATTCTGCAAATTCATTACCATTCCCTTACATTAAGCAAAAAAGTGATTCTGTGAATTCACTATCATTCCCTTACAAAACAGAATTTGTGCAATTTTTTATATTGTTGTGCAAAAGTACTCAGAAAAAACTCCATTGTCCCAATATCAAAAGAATTGCTGAAATGTTGTCAAATATAGAGCCACAAAGTGTCAAATTCTCATAATTACGTACCAAACTACCGGGATTTTCAAGTGTCTCAATATTGATTAAGGTAGTGGTTAAACAATAACACGAAGAATTAATCAAGCTTTTCAAAATGTCCAATATACCCTCAGTTTGATAATGAGTCAAAGAGTCCGCACAGCCCCCAAATTTCCATCAAAATTAGGAATTTTCTGGCGTCCCAAACAGTGAAGTCTTATCATTCAAATTTCAGAAACTCCTTTTCATTTCCCAAATTTGCTCAGCAACCAAACAGAAAACGAGAAAAAGAAAAGGCATAAACAAACGCTTGTAAAATTAGGGTTTACCTAAGAACCGAATTGATAGAAATCAGAGCAAAAAGCTTACAATTACTCGCCTTCGCGTTCTCCTTAATGAAACTCACAAATCAGTCCTTAAAATCGTAAAGACATTGGACATCGTAAATGCTCAATCTTCACACATAAATGAAGCACAAAAGAAACCTCACTTGGAGATACAATACACGATCGAAATAAGAGAAGTAATGTCTGTTGTGAAATCAAATTTATAATTACTTCGGAAACAGTGAAATTTGAATTAGAGAGAGAGAGAGAGATGCGAATCCCTAACCTGTTAAGAGTTCTGCCTCCAAATGTTTTTTCTCTTCTCTTCTCTTCTCTTTTCTTCTTGGTTGGTGTGTGGATTTGTAGGATAGAAATGGCGGCAACTTGATTTTTGTATGGTGATTTTCAAATGCTTTTTATTTATTTATTTTAAAGAAAGTTTAACGACCACACTTCTCTCTCCTAATTTTAGATTTCTGTTTTCTTTCAAAATGTGGTGCAGAACGGTATCGTTTTGCAAAAAAAAAAAAAAAGGTTTAAGTTAAAAAAATAAATTAGAAAAAGCAGTTGGTGGTTTTTTTTTTCTTTTTGATAAATTTGATGGTTTTTTAGACTTTTATAATTTATGTAGAAACAAAAAAGAGTACGTAGCTGTACAAAAAAAAAAAAAAAATTAAGATAGAGAATGTACTAGTGTAACAAAATAAATTACTTTCACAAAAAAAAAAAAAATAAATAAATAAATTATCGTGTGCTTTTAAGATATAAATAGGTAATTGCAAAAAATAAATAGACAATTACAAAAAAGTAATTCAATATGTAGTATGTAGTATACAAAATTTCAGTATTCAATTATTGAAAACTCACTTATAAAAAAACACTCAATACTATAATTCTCGCAATTATTGCTTGTAGTCTTGTAATGACATACATAAATATATCTTCATGCTAAAAAAAATATTTAATATTTAATAACCAAAACATATATGGCTTAACAATTACAAATTACACACAAACATGTATAGTTCTAGTTGTATATTCAATAGATTATTTTAATAAAATAAATTTTAATTTTAATAATTTTAATTTATTTGATTATTATGTAATAGTTGAGAGTTCGTGAATCCTTTACTCATAAACTTTTTGATGAACCAAAAAAAAAAAAAATACTACAAGTTACTATTAACTTATAAATGACAATAATAAATTAACACACATCGATTCTGGATAATTATAACAATAAGCACCTATTAGTTAACCTCTAGAAAGGTAGCAAATGAAGAAGTTTGCTTGTGATAAAATTATAAACACATCAAATTAAAAAATAAAAATAAAAAAGGGAAAAAAGAACATAAATATATACACAAGCTTGGGAGATAAATATTCCTTTTCCGACGACTTTCATTATAGTTATAACTAATTGGATACCCGCGCTACGCTGTGAGTAGACAACCGTTACATACATAAGGTTAACGATTCATACGGTGTAATGTAACTATAAAGTTTTATTTTTTATGATTAATATAAATCGAATCCGTATATAGTTAATTTCTAACGAAACTCGTTAGCACCTAATTTTTGCTCCCTTTTATTTATTTAGTAGTTATTTATTTATTATTATGATAACAAAATAAAAAATAGAAAAAGAAAGAAGAAAAAAGAGTAATTAGGATAGTTAGCTTAGAAAAAGGGGTTTAATTGAAAAATAAAAAGTTAGAAATAATTAAAAAGACAATTGAGGGCCCAATTGAAAAAAAATCAAAGGTTCAAACCTTTTAATTAAAATGAGGAGGGATACAATTGGAACCAATTAAAATAAAAAGTCCCAATTATTGGCAAGGGAAGGCTTAAATTGAAACACAAAAACAACAAATTAAACCCAAATAAATATATAAAAGAAAATCAAGGATCAAAGTGGATGTTTGCCAAAAAACCCTACACATATAAGATTGCCATGCATTTTTGATACGGACCACTATTCATTATCACCCTAAAAACACACCAGTCGACCACAACCTTCTCTCCTATGCTCACGCAGACCCTACTAGCCTCTCTCTCGCTAACTAGCTCTCTCACCTCTCGCCTCCCTCGCTAGCCTCCACACTCCAATAGCCAACCGGGCCCACGACTCTCTCTCACTCCGTAGCTCCTCTCGTACGCCTACCACAAACCCCGTCGCGCTAGCTCCCCCTCTCACCCATACTACCATAGCAGCCCCGTTCTAAACTAGAAATACAGCCCCATTCCGGACCCAAAACATATCCCAAAACAAATCCCATTCAACACCCCCTAACACACCATAACAGACCCCTTTCACACATCACACACACTTATTGCCAACCCTCTCCCTCATGCCTAAAACATAACGTAAAACAATCATTCCGACCACGAAACATAATCGCACACCGACCCTCACACCAAGCCTTTTTCCATGCTACAAACGACCTCTCTCCATCCCTACACCCACATCCGAAACGCACCACCACAGCCCCTTTAAACTCGATCCGAAACACTACTACAAAATCACCAAAAAAAAAAAGAAGATAAAATAAAGGACAAAAAAACAAAAAAGAACCAAAAAAAGAGAGACCTTTTGCGGTGGTTTTGTTGCTCGTTTTGTTTGATTTGTTTTGACATAAAATATATTTTAGAGGAGATTTTGATCGTTCTAATAGGATCCACAACACACATTATCTACAAATAGTCAATCTTTTTTTTGGCTTATCAAATGTTCGGTTATCATTGGGAACGAAGAGAGTAAAACTAACTCCAAATCGGACATCGGAATCACATAATCTTTGGGTAAAAATTCTAAAACTACCGTACTTTCAAAACATGATTTGCGTTTACTTTGTGATGGGTGATTGATTGATTATGAGGTGTAATATGGGTTTAAAGCTTCGATGGTGTTCGAAATTATTTTGTATGTTTTTGTATCTCGTTTCCCATTTTTATATTTTCCATTCTCCTCGTTTTGTTGTTGGTTTTGGTTTTTTGTTTCTTGTCTTTTTGTTCTTGATTGCATCATGTTTGAAAATAAGTCATCGGTAGTTTTCACTTATGTGATGAAGTCGTCGAGAGGGTTTCAAAATATTTTTATTTAATTATTTGCATGTGTAAAACGAAGCTCGCTGGTAGCTTCCCATTTATGTGACGAAGTCATCGGAGAGCTTCGAAATATTTTTTGTTTAATTGTTTGCATGTGTGAAAATAAGCGATTGGTAGAAAATAAACGATTGGTAGTTTTTCATTTATATGACGAAGTCGTTGAAAGACGTCAAAATATTTTTGTTTATTTGTTTATATGTTCAAAAATAAGTCGTTGGTAGCTTCCCACTTATGTGACAAAGCCACCAACGGCTATTCAAAATGGTTATTTTCTCCTTGCTTGAACGACATGAAGTTGCCTATGACTTCCCACTTTTATGACGAAGTCGTCGGTAGCTTCTTATATCCATGACTCGAAGTCATCGACGGCTTCCCACTTATGTGAGTGAAATTATCGGTGACTCGTAGCTCATGCCGGTAAAAGGCTATTTATCTTTAGAAACCGACCTATTTTTCAATAATAGGTCGTGTTTGCTAATGATTAGCCAAAATTTCAATTTTTCTATCTTTTCCCCATTTGGGTCGGGCGTATTGGCCTTGAACCAGCTTGAATGCTCGAACTACCCCGTTTCATACTTAAACCATCTTATCCCATAATTTTATCAAATAAATTCATATGAATAGACATAGAGGTATAACGGAATAAAGAACTAGGTTTTTACATTCTTAGACAAATAATGCAATCTACCTTAGGTAGGATGGGATGGTGGTGACATCATGTCTTCCTCGTACGTAACCGACCCCTTATCCGGATATCCATGTAGACAATTATATTTAGGGTTTTTCTAGTTCCCCCAATTAGCTAGGTGGTGACACCTTATCTTGGCCTCTTTCCCTACTTGTGTTGGGTCGA